CGTTTTCGATCAACCAATTACATGCCAACTATGTGCTTAAGTGGGCCGATCCCGGCCGTTCCGAGTTATAAACTGCGTGCAAAGGCAAGAAGAGCAAAATTACCAAAATTACAATACCCTCTGCAAGGGTGCAACAAGAAAGGAAAGCTAACTTGAGGCGGAACCGAAGTTTACATACCCCTGCAGTTAAGATAGGATATAAATCGCAAATATGGGATATGGTTGGCGAATCCTTATGAGAATTTCAAATTATAAACATCTTATACGAATAAAAATTAAAAAGAAGTTAATTTTCTATCTTCAAAAATTCCAAATTGGTATTTTGACAAAAATAGAATCCATAGGAAAAATGAACAATCTAACTCTAAAAACACCAAAGTTAGGGCGTTTTCGATCAACCAATTACAAGTCAACTATGTGCTTAAGTGGGCCGATCCCGGCCGTTCCGAGTTATAAACTGCGTGCAAAGGCAAGAAGAGCAAAATTACCAAAATTACAATACCCTCTGCAAGGGTGCAACAAGAAAGGAAAGCTAACTTGAGGCGAAACCGAAGTTTATTTACCCCTGCAGTTAAGATAGGACATAAATCGCAAATATTGGATATAGTTGGCGGAACCTTATGAGAATTCTAAATTATAAACAAATAATAGGAATACAAAATTTAAAAGAAAATCCAATATTCGATCTTCAAAAATACCAAATTGGTATTTTGACAAAAAGTATAATCCATAGGAAAAATGAACAATCTTATTCTTAAAACACCAAAAGTAAGGCGTTTTCAATCAACCAGTTTTATGTCAGCTATGGGCTGAAGTCGGCCGCTCCGACTTATATACTGCGTGCAAAAGAAAGAAAGGTATACAATCTTATTTTTAAAACACCAAAAGTAAGGCGTTTTCTATCAACCAGTTTGATGTCAGCTATGGGCTGAAGTCGGCCGCTCCGACTTATATACTGCGTGCAAAAGAAAGAAAGGTGTGTGCAAAGTTTAAAGGCGGATCAAACATACATATATAAATTTTATAGCGTCGTATACTCCTCTACTGCGTTTCACACTTTTGACCAAAAATATAATACCCTCTGACAGGGTGTAAAAAGAGAGGAGAGCTAACTTGGGGCGAAATGAAGTTTGTGGGCAAAGTTTAAAGTCGGATCAAAAATATTTATTATTTATAGTGTCGGAGATGTCTCATTCACGGCGTTTCACACTGTTGTCCAAATTCACAATACCCTCTGCAAGGGTGTAACAAGAACGAAAAGCTATCTTGGGGCGAAACCGAAGTTTATATACCCCTGCAGTTAAGATAGGACATAAATCGCAAATATTGGATATAGTTGGCGGAACCTTATGAGAATTCTAAATTATAAACAAATAATAGGAATACAAAATTTAAAAGAAAATCCAATATTCGATCTTCAAAAATACCAAATTGGTATTTTGACAAAAATAGAATCCATAGGAAAAATGAACAATCTAACTCTAAAAACACCAAAGTTAGGGCGTTTTCGATCAACCAATTACATGTCAACTATGTGCTTAAGTGTGCCGACCCCGGCCGTTCCGAGTTATAAACTGCGTGCAAAGGCAAGAAGAGTAAAATTAGCAAAATTACAATACCCTTTGCAAGGGTGTAACAAGAACGAAAAGCTATCTTGGGGCGAAACCGAAGTTTATATACCCCTGCAGTTAAGATAGGACATAAATCGCAAATATTGGATATAGTTGGCGGAACCTTATGAGAATTCTAAATTATAAACAAACAAGAAAGGAAAGCTAACTTCTGCCGGAGCCGTAGTTTATATACCCTTGCAGCTAAAACCGGATATAAATCGCAAACATCGGATATAGTTAGCCGATCCTTATTAGAATATGATAAAATAACCCAATTTATTATAATAAAAAATCTGAAATAAGTCCCAAACTTCTGTCTTCAAAAATACCAAAGTTGTCGACATAGTCGACAGATCGTTATGAAATTTCGAAGGTCAGATTAACTGACCAAATTTAAAATCTGTACCAAGGTCCAGCTTTCTATCTTCAAAAACACAAAAGTTGGGTTATTTCCGATCGTTCAGTTATATGGCAGCTATAGGATATAGTCGGCCGATCCTTATGATATTTAGTAGGTCGGATTATCTGACCTAAAATAGAATTTGTACTAAGTTTCAGCTTTCTGTCTTCTAAAACACGAAAGTTGGGTCATTTTCGATCGTTCAGTTATATGGCAGCTATAGGATATAGTCGGCCGATCCTAATGAAATTTGGTAGGTTGGATCAACTAACCAAAAATAGAGTCCGTACTAAATTCCAGCTTTCTATCTTCAAAAACACGAAAGTTGGGTCATTTCCGATCGTTGAGTTATATGGCAGCTATAGGATATAGTCGGCCGATCCTTATGAAATTTGGCATGTCGTATTATTTTGCCAAAAATAGCTTTCATGTCAAATTTGAACTCTCTAACTCTAAAAACACCAAAGTTATACCATTTCCGATCAATCAGTTATATGGCAGCTATAGGATATAGTCGGCCGATCCCGGCCGTTCCGACTTATATACTGCGTGCAAAGGAAAGAAGGGTGTGTGCAAAGTTTCAAGACGATAGCTTTAAAACTGAGAGACTAGTTTGCGTAGAAACAGACAGACGGACAGACGGACAGACGGACATGCTCATATCAACTCAGGAGGTGATCCTGATCAAGAATATATATACTTTATAGGGTCGGAGATGTCTCCTTCACTGCGTTGCACACTTTTGGACAAAATTATAATACCCTCTGCAAGGGTATAAAAAGAATTTTAATTTCATATGAAATAAGTAAATGTGCATACTGGCCGAAAAATCGAAATACATATTGGAAAATTTTTCAAAAATTTTAAGTACACTTCCTAATAATTTGTATGACTTCCTTTCATAATAAAAACTTGATTAATACGATTGGGCATTGAATTTGCTAATTTTTTCATCGTTGACGGAATAATTTGATACCATTCCTTGATCAAAGCCTTTTTAAGGTCATTAACTGTGTCGAACTGTCGACCATTCTTGTAAACTTTATTAGAAAGAATTCCCCAAAGATCTTCTATTGGGTTTAGGTCCGGGCTGATCGCTGGCCATTGCAATAGCGGTATTTTTCTAGCTGCCAGAAAGTCTTTTGTTTTGCGAGCTGTGTGGATGGAATGTCCACTCATCTCCATAAATGTCTCCAGCAAATTCAATGAGCACTGTTTCTAGTAACTCTATATAAATTTCTGCATTTGTTCTAGTCGGTATAAAACAAAGTGGAGACTTCCCAGCATACCCAAATCCGGCCCAAACCATTAATAAAATATATAAAATTAATAAATTAATGATTAAAATTAATAAAATACCAAATGCTGTTTTTTTTTCAAGATAGACGTTTGGGACTTTTTTTTTAGATTTTGTATTGTAATAAATTGATTTTATAATGATATTCTTATTAGGATCGGCCTATAAGGATGTTTTTGGTTCGGCGTATTTCGCTTCCGTTTTAATTTACCTTGTTTGGTATTTGCGGTGGGTTGTGCTATTTTATTATACCCTTGCAGAGGGTATTATAATTTTGGTCAAAAGTGTGCAACGCAGTGAAGGATACATCTCAGACCCTATAAAGTATATATATTCTTGATCAGGATCACCTCCTGAGTTGATATGAGCATGTCTGTCTGTCCGTCTGTCTGTCCGTCTGTCTGTTTCTACGCAAACTAGTCTCTCAGTTTTAAAGCTATCGTCTTGAAACTTTGCACACACCCTTCTTTCCTTTGCACGCAGTATATAAGTCGGAACGGCCGGGATCGGCCGACTATATCCTATAGCTGCCATATAACTGATTGATCGGAAATGGTATAACTTTGGTGTTTTTAAAGTTAGAGAGTTCAAATTTGACATGAGGCAAAATATTACGACATGCCAAATTTCGTAAGGATCGGCAGACTATATCCTATAGCTGCCATATAACTGAACGATCGGAAATGACCCAACTTTCGTGTTTTTGAAGATAGAAAGCTGGAACTTGGTACAGATTATATATTGGGTCAGTTGATCCGACCTACCAAATTTCAATTTCAAATTTAGGATCGGCCGACTATATCCTATAGCTGCCATATAACTGAACGATCGGAAATGGTATTTGGTAGAAATATCAACTTTCGTATTTTTGAAGATAGAAGTTTGGGACTTTTTTAGATTTTGTATTGTAATAAATTGGATTATATATTCCTTTTCCCATAAGGATTGGCCAACTATATCCGATGTTTGCGATAAATATCCGTTTTTAACTGCAAGGGTATATAAACTTCGGCTCCGCCCGAAGTTAGCTTTGCTTTCTTGTTTTTAATGTTTCTGTGTTTATTGGTGCAGAGGACGTTGTTAGTAAAGTTATAGAGGAGCAGATCATATCTGTACAAAGATAAAAAACTGTGGATAAAATTTCTGTGTTTTTATTGTTCTAATTTTATATATTGATGTTGAGGTGAGTGATAGGGTTAAGAGAATGATTTCTTAATCAAGATCACCTCCTATCAACTCAATATAACTGAATGAACGGAAATAACATACATTTTGTTTTTTTTTAGACTTTAAGAGTTGGTATATAGATTTCTATGGATTCTATTTTTTGCTTATTGATCCGACTCACCAAATTTCCGAATACAATTTTGTATATGTTTAGAAAAATTATTATTACGACTCTACGATTATGAAAAAAAACATACTGACCACTGAGCATAGGCAGCATAGGGAGGACACAATTTTTTTTTAAGATTAGTTCCTCATAAACACAATATTCACATTTTGAATCTAGGCCACTATGCTTAAAACGACATCTAAGTCAGAAAAAGGTAACACATACTAAAAAGTCAAACAAACACGATTCCCATTCTATTCAAGAAATTTTCACAATACAGATATTTCCCACACGGTAAAACACAAAAACATTTTAGTCATAATTTAGCTTCCCTCAAAAAAAAAAATAAACAATAAATGAAAATTTAAAAAAACAGAAACAACGGAAATCTTTACCCACAACAAAATATTCAAAATTACCTTCAATGTGTGGATGAACAAAAAAAGTCACTCTTTGCCACAACCAGAACTAAGGCCTTTGTAACAAAAAAATTAGTAGCCGAAAATCGGAATTTTTGAACTTCAGCTCAAAAGAATTATTAGCGAGATTCTAAAAGGTACAGCTGGAGAAATTCATTTTTCCTAAGATGCATATTGAAATCCAGATTGCTTTAAACTTTGTCATATCGTATCTCTATAACAAATTGCCACGGAGACGGGTAAATATTTTTGGTGAGGAGTTGGAGAAGGCATTGGGAGAAAAATTCCTAGGACATTGGTACCCAGAAAAACCGTTTAAGGTAATTCTAACCGCATGCATATGTACATTTAAGGTGTATGTGTAACCTGTTTTCTTTCAGGGATCTGCTTACCGCTGTTTAAAAACTGGCGATCCTATCGATTCTGTATTGGAACGAGCAGCTCGCGAAAGTGGAGTACCTATTTGCGATGTGTTAGAAAACTTGCCAAGCGAGCTATCGGTTTGGGTAGATCCTGGTGAGGTGTCATTTCGCATTGGCGAGAAGGGAGCGGTTAAGGTAGGCTTTTGATAGATATTATAAGGATATTTTAAGGTATTAGGAAAAAAATATAAAATATTAAATACATTAAATTTAAGTCCAGAAAACTTTATAAGGGTTACAAATGAATCAATCATTCAGAAAAAACTTTCATATAATTTAGTCAAGAACTATAATCAGCCTATTGATAAAGTAGAGTCATGCTCAAGCTTTATATGAAATTTTTAGCTTAGTCATGTACATATACAGTCATTTACAAAATAGCTGAGTCATATATGTACATATAATAGTCCATATAATAATGAATATATATATCCCTATGACAGCTATCACTGTGTTAATACCATTCCATATGGAAAAGGGCTAAAATCATTTCAAACCATTAGGAAACCATTATCGACATTCTTAAAAATGTCCTCACATACGAGAACTTTGAAAACGAGGATAAATCAAAAATGCCCGGAGTTTAATTCACGATTCGCTGTTGAAATTCTGTTAGAATAACATCTGATATTCTTCATGAAATTCCTTTATCCATAAAATCCGATTTTTGCAATGAAATTACGCCAAAAAAAAGACAAAAAACAATTTTTTAAAAAAAATTATATTTTATTTATAATTTTTCTTCATAATAATATCGAAGAGGGTATAATAATAATTGTGGTAAAAAGTGGTCATCGTTATGGAGGAGACATCTCCGACTCTATAAAGCAGTGGTTCTTAGCCGGTGGACCGAGGACACTAGCCGTTCCTGAATTCCAAGTGGTTTGCGAAGATCACTAAATAATAAACCAAATTAGAGCTAATTTACCATTATTACAAGTTTGTCCAATATGCTTGTTTTCCTTATCGAAATAGCATTAATTTTGGTAAACCAACGTTGTGGTCCCTGGCCAGACAAATACATATTTGATGAAATGTCCCCTCACGGTATTTTTATTCGGATCCCCTCCACTATTCTAACCGAAATAGTCACTTCATGGGAGAAGTGTCTCTTCTAGTCACATGGGTCTTCTTTCGTTACAAACTAAAAATAAAAATTGAAAACAAACGTTTCTTGAAACTTTTTTTTTGCTTTTCGTTTAGCTCTTTGGTTAGTGTATAAAATTATGGAACTTATCGAGTTTTAATTTTCATAATATTGGCAAAAAACATGCGAACGTAAAAAATTGGAACGGAATATTCTAAAGCATAGATGGGCACGAAATCTAACGGTCGGAGCCGCAGCTCGGCCAGACAACAAATTACAACAACAATCAAACAACAACAATTACAAACGCACCCTTAATACTTGTTGTTGCAAAATCGGGACCGCGGCGTCGGGCCCGCTACCTGCCTCTGAATTTGTGTAGCATTGTTTTTGTAAATCTTCACGCCTCACTGACCGCGATTTTCTGGCGCCAAAAATTACGAATAACGGGGGGAGCCGCGAGAGCCCGAGGAGCCATGGGCTTGCCCATCTAGGTTCTAAAGCAATAATTTAGCTTTTAAAATAGATTTATGTAGCTTTTTATACCCTTGCAGAGGGTATTATAATTTTGGTCAAAAGTGTGCAACGCAGTGAAGGAGACATCTCCGACCCTATAAAGTATATATATTCTTGATCAGGATCACCTCCTGAGTTGATATGAGCATGTCCGTCTGTCCGTCTGTCCGTCTGTCTGTCCGTCTGTCTGTCCGTCTGTCTGTTTCTACGCGAACTAGTCTCTCAGTTTTAAAGCTATCGTCTTGAAACTTTGCACACACCCTTCTTTCCTTTGCACGCAGTATATAAGTCGGAACGGCCCGGATCGGCCGACTATATCCTATAGCTGCCATATAACTGATTGATCGGAAATGGTATAACTTTGGTGTTTTTAAAGTTAGAGAGTTCAAATTTGACATGAGAGCTATTTTTGGCAAAACATTACGTCATGCCAAATTTCATAAGGATCGGCCGAGTATATCCTATAGCTGCCATATAACTGAACGATCGGAAATGACCCAACTTTCGTGTTTTTGAAGATAGAAAGCTGGAATTTAATACAGCTTTCTATTTTTTGTCAGTTAATCCAACCTACCGCATTTCATTAGGATCGGCCGACTATATCTCATAGCTGCCATATAACTGAACGATCGGAAATGGTATTTGGTAGAAATATCAACTTTCGTATTTTCGAAGATAGAAGTTTGGGACTTTTTTTAGATTTTGTATTGTAATAAATTGGATTATATATTCCTATTCAGATAAGGATCGGCCAACTATATCCGATGTTTGCGATATATATCCGGTTTTAGCTGCAAGGGTATATAAACTTCGGCTCCGCCCGAAGTTAGCTTTCCTTTCTTGTTATTAAGTATATTTTCAAAAAATATATTAATTTATTAATCTCCATTCTTTTTAGTTTATTTAGGTACCGACCGCAAAATTTACAATTTTTCCGTGTTGCTTTATTTATTTTTACTACTACTTGTTTTTATACCCTTGCAGAGGGTTTTATAATTTTGTCGAAAAGTGTGCAACGCATTGAAGGAGACATCTCGGACCCTATAAACTATATATATTCTTGATCAGGATCACCTACTGAGCTGATATGAGCATGTCCGTATGTCCGTCTGTCTGTCTGTCTGTTTCTACGCGAACTAGTCTCTCAGTTTTAAAGGAATAGACTTGAAACATTGCACACACCCTTCTTTCCTTTGCACGCAGTATATAAGACGGAACGACCGGGATCGGTCGACTATATCCTATAGCTGCTATATAACTGATTGATCGGAAATGGTATAACTTTGGTGTTTTTAGAGTTAGAGAGTTCAAATTTAACATGAAAGCATTTGGAAAAACATTACGACATGCCAAATTTCATAAGGATCGGCCGACTATATCCTTTAGCTCCCATATAACTGATTGATCGGAAATGACCCAACTTTCGTGTTTTTGAAGATAGAAAGCTGGAACTTAGTACTGATTATATTTTTGGTCAGTTAATCCGACCTAGCTGCCATATAACTGAACGATCGGAAATGTTTTTTGGTAGAAATACCAACTTTGGTACTTTTGAAGATAGAAGTTTGGGACTTTTTTTTAGATTTTATATTATAACAAATTGGGTTATATTATTATATTCTCATAAGGATCGGCCAACTATATCCGATGTTTGCGATATATATCCGGTTTTAACTGCAAGGGTATATCAACTTGGGCTCCGCTCGCAGTTAGCTTTCCTTTCTTGTTATGAATAACTTCATATTTAAAGTGTTTAATGACATATAAAGCAAGAAAAACATTTTTATTAAATATAAAATCATTTCTTGTTTTTAAGTATCATTACTGAGTACTTACCAACAATTTTCTTCGACCTGAAAATACAAAAATTTTAAAATCTTCCTAATGCATTTTTTTAAGTATACATTGTGTGCTGTAGTGTCTTTTGTTCTTCTCATTTACGCCATCCATAATGTTGAGTTAATCGTACATTTTAGGAGCAAAATGGCGTTTGGCTTATATTTATAAGTGCAATTGCGTAATATAACGCTCATTACCCTCTTTTATACATACTTCTAGGTTTCGCAGACCTTTGAGACTTATTCTATATTATATGTACCTCAGAGTACTTTCTAATATCGGGATAAAAATGTTTCGATTTTATAAAAATTTTTTAAAGGAACCTGGTCTTAAAAAAAATGAAATCAACTGGTTATTTAACGATTGAAGAACTTATCTGATATAATGTAAACAAGCGTGTTCCAAGCGAACATTAAGTTCCAATCACTCTTGCTGGGTTCGTAAAGTTTTTTTCGTCGATCGAACGCTTTATGTGAGCAGCAAAGAATGATAGAGAATGCTGCTTGCATTCAAATCGATCACACTCATACCGTTTGGTCATACCGAGTGGTTTTTCAGTCACAATCAAATCAAACGCAACTTGTCTGAGCTTTCGTGCATCGCTGGACTCGATCGTCTTTCTGTACAATCATTTTCGATAATCATACCAATACCAAAAACACATTTTGAATCAGTAAGCAGAGCAATCAAGTCAATTGAACGAACTTGTTCGTTCTGTGCACAAAGATCGATCTAACAATTTTGTAGCGAACTACTTCAGTGAGGCTGGTCAAACCGACTTGATTTTACCACTAACCATACAGCATATAGCAACCCATTTCATACAACGAAAAGGGACGCAAAAATTTCTTGCGACAGACCCCAGAGCGAGTTCTTACTCTTTTTCTTACGCACATCGTTCGTTCATCTTACGCTCATATTCTCTTTGAATGCTTTCTGTTTCTCAGTCTCTGACAGGAGCACGATGAAGAAGGTTGGTCTAACTCATTCAATTCGGTTTTCATCCCCCGAATATTGTGCCAATGACACCTCCACAGTCATTCATTTATTTCTATCATTCGCAATTAATTCTATCACACTCAATTAATTTTTAAGGCTGTGCCTTTGAATGTCGTTTTTAGCTAATGCAGACCTTTACTATACGCACAAATATGTATATTTTTTAATGAATATATAAATATCTCAAAGACATTATATTTCTCCGATTACGCGAAATTTTGTGTACAAGTTAACAACCAACTCCCAGCTTAGGCTGAGCAAGCCAATTTATATTCCCTTTATTAGTATTAATTATATTTATTAATCAACTATTAGTATTAATCATTTATTAATGTTAATCATTTTATTATTAATTATTATTATAATTTCTTTTGGAGAACATTATAATACCCTCTGCAAGGGTATAAATATTTGAGTGGCGCTCACGCACGGAAGAACTTTTCACTCGTCTTTTCCCTTTATGATTCTGTGTCATAATAAAACTAACTAAAAAACTAAAGAAAGCTAACTTTGGGCGGAGCCGAAGTTGATATACCCTTGCAGTTAAAACCGGATATATATCGCAAACATCGGATATAGTTGGCCGATCCTTATGAGAATATAATAATATAACCCAATTTGCTATAATATAAAATCTAAAAAAAAGTCCCAAACTTCTATCTTCAAAAGTACCAAAGTTGGTATTTCTACCAAAAAACATTTCCGATCGTTCAGTTATATGGCAGCTAGGTCGGATTAACTGACCAAAAATATAATCTGTACCAAGTTCCTGCTTTCTATCTTAAAAAACACGAAAGTTGGGTCATTTCCGATCAATCAGTTATATGGGAGCTATAGGATATAGTCGGCCGATCCTTATGAAATTTGGCATGTCGTAATGTTTTGCCAAAAATAGCTTTCATGTCAAATTTGAACTCTAAAAACACTCTAACTCTAACTCTAAAAACACGAAAGTTATACCATTTCCGATCAATCAGATCAATCGACCGTTCCTGGTCGTTCCGACTTATATACTGCGTGCAAAGAAAAGAAGGGTGTGTGCAAAGTTTCGATAGCTTAAAACTGAGAGACTAGTTCGCGTAGAAACAGACAGACAGACGGAGAGACGGACATGCTCATATCAACTCAGGAGGTGATCCTGATATA